GGCTGGACCGAGCTAAAGGATTGTGGGCAAATGAACTACCTAGTGTCCTATGGGCACCGAACCATGGAGAAGACCGCCATAGGAGAAACACCCTTCAATCTCACCTACGACACCGAAGCAGTGATCCCCGCAGAGATCGAAGTACCTACATTGCGGGTAGAAACATACAGTGATCAAACAAACGAAGATGAGCTACGTACCAACCTTGATCTACTCGACGAAGTAAGGGACCTCGCGTACATTAGGACCGCAGCCTACCAGCAGAGAGTAGCTCGGTACTATAATGCCAGGGTCAAGAAGTGTAACCTCCGCGTTGGCGACTTGGCCCTTCGTAAAGTTATGGTACCTGAGCCCGACGCTGGCAAGCTTGGGTCCAATTGGGAAGGTCCTTATCGAGTGAAATGAGTGCTCGGGGAAGGAACATACGAGCTCGAGACCCTCGAAGGGAAACAAGTACCTCGAGCATGGAATATTGTCAACCTAAGGCAATATTATCTGTAAGAATCGAGTAGGCCACGAGCCACTCCCTAAGCCTAAGGGCCAGAACACCGAGCTAACATGACCTCGGCACAACAGGACCCAACTACCTCTATGGCATGAGCAGACCCCGAGAGTGGGCCACGAGCCAACTCCTCCAGCCTAAGGGCTAAAACGTCGGGCTAATGAAAAGACCTTGGCAGCGTATAGGACTTAGTGGCCTCATCAGCTTGAACTAAGTACTTACAACGCCCAAGGTGCAGGCGATTCGGGCACGAACCTTGTAATGATTAGCCCGCCCTGGCATGCAACGAGTCGAACCCGTTAAGGACAGCCGATGTCAACTTAGTTCAAGTACAGACAAGTCGGGCATGTACCTTACTTTGTCACTCACTTCGGGTACGCAACTCTAATAGCTCGGGTGTTAAGATCGCCTTAGTAAAGATAAAGAGTGCACACCATACTTAGGGGAAAAAGAACTTTCATTACACCATATTTAGCAAAAATAAAGAGTGCGCAAGAAAAGGCCAAGTGCCACTTCAGCATGGGGAAATTCAGGAACGGACTACGAATCCCTCCCAAAGCCTAACGGCTACAAAACGCCAAACTGAAAAAACCTGGTTATCTCTGACCCTTAAGGGAAAGACAGCTCGGGTATGAACCCTACAGCGTCTACACCCCTGCTGCTCTTACACAGCTCGAGTAACCTATACATTAAATTGACCAGCTCGGTGTCCACTCACACTTAGAAGTGTTTTTGCACTAAGAGATACTCGAAAGAAACTATGTTTCATTAAAAAGAGAGTTCGGGTACAAGAATTTTTACCCGAGCTCAAAGGCTCAGGATAAGTACATTCACAGTTCAGAAAGGAAAAAGACTAAGTTACAAGGGCAAGCTACTTCGGGGGCTCACCGCCTCTATCAGGGACCCCCTCGGGGACAATGTCTAGACCGGCATCCTCTGCTCCATCTTCGGGACCTTCATCCTCAGAATCGGGGTCATCTTTTGACTGACACATGATGTCGTCAGTAATCCGCGAAGTAGTAATAGCGTTCATGTCCAGCTCGGGGTAGAGGTGCCTGATCAGCCACCGACTGAGCTTGTCATCACATCGTCAAATCTCGAAGAGTTGACGTAGTCAATGACGGCCTAGGTCTTGGCCTCCTCGAGAGCACCCTTGAAGATTGCAGTCTTCTTCCTTATGTCCTCCTGGAGGTACCCCACTTCATGCTCCAGTTTCCCCTTTGCCTCCTTGAGGCCTTGTACCTCGAGCCTCAGAGCATCCCGCTCAGCCTTGAGGCTGCTCACCTCGAGCCCTAAGGCCTCCTGACCGACCTTGAGACCGTTCACTTCGGCCCTCAACTTGTCTTTATCTTGAGCCAGCTCCCCCTTCTCTGACATTAACACCTCGATAAAACTCTTTTGAGCCGAGGCGTCACTCTCCAAGTGGTGAACCTGACAACGAACTGCCCTCAACTCAGTATGGGTTGCGCGAGACGATTTCTCAGCTTCCAGAGCCCGCCTCAGATGTCGATCTGATTGGAGGGTCAAGGCGCAAATGGCGGAGTTCACCTACAAAAAGGAGAACCGGTTAAGAGGGAGACCACCAAAAAAAAAAGAAAAAGAAAAAGAAAGGAAGAAAAAGAAAAAAAGGAAGGGGACTCACCACCATAGTATGAGGGGCGGCTCGGGCGCCGAGCTGACCAGGAGTGAGTTCGGCCCACTCGCTGACCTCCCCCGAGTATGCAGCCAGCTTACTCTTCTTCAGGCTACACTAGGGGTTCAGGACGGTTTGACTCCCCTGACCCTCCGAGCTGGAAGCCGTCATCTCCACATCGTTAGTAGAGCTCTCGGAGGACTTAACGGTAGGTTCCGCCATCACCTCGGGCCCCTTAGGCGCAGCCCCCTCTTCCAAGTCGATGACGGGCGCGGCTGCCACCTCGGGCCCCGAGGGGGAAGTCGAGGCTCGACTAAAGCTTGCGGGGACCCAACACGCGCCTTCTTTGCCACGCGTTTCTTCCTCTTCATCTGGTGGAAGAGCTTCTGGTTGTCTATTTTCTCCGCCTCCATGGGACTTGCAGTGAAACGCGACATCAGCAACCTGAAGCAAATATAAGAGTGGAAAGCCGAAGTGGGGAAAACCTACCCGGACTCAAGCCCGCTCGAACGAGCTTCTCCTCAGAAGTGAAGTCTTTATAATGCAACCCGAGCTGAGCCAGTGACTGGAGCTCCTTCTTGGTCTTCCCATCCAGGATGACACCAGGGTCTTGAACGGCTATCCTCCAATCGGTGGGGAAGGGCCACCCCGTATTGCTCTGGACTACGAAGTAGTCCCGCTTCCAAGCTGAGATTTTGCTCGGGAGCTTGTGCATGAGTTTGAAACCCGGGCGGGGGGACAGGTAGTAGGACCGCCTATGCCCGGGGAGAGCGCCCGAAGTGCTCTTCTTTATAGCCAAAATTGTACTGAGAACATCTAAATCTATGGAGAGGGAACGATCAAAGCAAAGAGAAATGGACCCCACCACATTCCGTATGGAGTTTGGGTGGAGTTGGTCCAGGGTGATGTTGAAGTGTACCAACACCTCAACGATCAAAGGGTGAAGTGGAAGTCTGAGCCCGGCTATCAGCTGCTCCCTGAAGATCACGATCTCGTTGGGACCGTGCTCCCATGGGAAGTTACCGATGGGAAGACTATATGAGTACTCGTTAGGGAGGCGGAACCTCTGTATGAGGTCCTGAAGCCTCTCCGAGGTCATTATGGAAGGCTCGAACTGATCTGGTTCCCGACCTCGGTGGGAGGTGGATGCCAGATGACCCGAAGCCACCCGTACTTTGGACGGCTGGGCAGCAGAGGAGACACCCCGAGTTGAGGTACCTACATCGGGCTCGTTGATGAGACTATCTACACTAGACGACATACCGAACTAAGAGAAAGAAACAAACTAGAAAGGAAAAGGAAGCTCGGGAGGACTCACCAAAGAAATGCAACCGGACTGGAAGAACAGAACGAATCGGAGGACCCGAGCTAAGAGACCCCTGGCGCGAGCTCAAACGCTAACGACGAAAGCTTTGTGGCGAAGAAAATGGCCAAGGGACCCCCTATTTATAGCCGCGACCGCGAGTTATTCGAGGTGAAAACGATTTAGCGCATTTTTGACATCCGCGAAGTCCAAGTCGCGTGAAGTCCACGTGTAATCTGGACGCGACTCGAGTCTTTTTTCGATCGAGCCGGGCGCTAGACCGGTACAGCTGGACGGAACGCGCGACAACGCAGCATAAATACCGACGCCAAATCCACCCGGCGCGTCATGACCTCCCCGCGCTGGGTCACCGCCGCCAGCGCAAGGAGTGGGGGGCAATTGATGGAGGGTGATTTGGCCCGACCTTGTAGCTCAGGTGCACATGGGCGTGACCTTGCTCAAACAGTGACTTAGCATGACAGCGCAACGGACATGAACACAACTCAGAGGGAAAGTCCCGCCAAGTTCAGCACGGCAACTTGACGGGTAAACTACTCGCCGAAAGCCGCCTTGCCCGCACCTCCTCCCCGGGGTTAAGGCACTTTGGGGGGTCCCAAGTTCGGGGCACCCTGACCCCTTTTGAGACCCGAGCTCCTCCCAATGGACCTAGGGCCACTCCTAAGCAAGAACACACCGATTCTTCTCCGGACGCCCCGAGGCACAAAGACCCCGGGTCGGCTAGCTCGGCATAACCGGCTACAGGCAGCCCGTCACCCAAAGGACAGCCCAGCTCAGGGTAATTCGCAGGAGAACAATTCGGTATACCATAGGAGGGCTTTCTGCCTGACCGCCGTACCCGACAAACCTGTGGACAGCAGGCATGTCCCCCTCGCCGCGCCTGCCACCCTTAGAAAGGCATCCCACACCTGACAGACACGTACCCTGCACAACGGCCCCGCGCGTCCCACCTCAGCCCTGCCTGTAACAGCTGTGGCAGATTGACAGTGATGGTTATACCTGCCCTATCAGAGGTCAGAGGGCCTAAAGCAACGGAATTCAGTTATATGGGGCTTATTCTCAAGGAACAAGGTATCTTGAATCACTAGCGCAACCTGCACTCTTAGCTTTCGTTTTCCTTCAGCTTCTTGCACACAATACTAACTTAAGCATCAAAGCGTTCTCGCCGGGAAACCCCCCGGGAGTTCTTCCTCTTTCCTCTCGTTTCAGGTACCTCTCAGGAGCCACACGAGCGCCAGGTAGGAGTGACCGGATTGTGCTACATCAAAAACATTTAGAATCATGTGATATTTTGTAACATTTCCTTAAAGTAGCTTGACAACATCTAAAACATCCATGTATATATATCTACTCTTTTAAATTAAAACATTTTTTCATTTCCTTAAAGTAGCTTGACAACATCTAAAACATCCATGTATATATATCTACTCTTTTAAATTAAAACATTTTTTCATTTCCTTAAAGTAGCTTGACAACATCTAAAACATCCATGTATATATATCTACTCTTTTAAATTAAAACATTTTTTCTTCTTTCTTGAATGTATCTATACAAGGGAAATAAAAAAGAAAACCACAAAGTATATATCTAAGAAGAATGAAAAAAACAATACATGTTGAAACGCAAGGACCAATATCATCTAGGAGAAAATAGAGTAGCTAGACCCTGATCCACGGTCATTTGGATCCGATCATAGGCCATCAAGTCCTTCTTTTGTTCGCAGTTGTATGTCCCCTCTCCTCTGGCCAGGACTTCCCCATCTGAATCTATGATACCTCCTTTTGTTGGACATTTAAAACGCTGACCTGGCTCCAGAATAAATGCCTTCACCTGCAGTTGTTGCAAGAAATAAGAAAACGCTAATAACTTCAAATTCTAAAAGACTGATAATTAAATAAAACTGTACTTATTGTTAGTACTAATAAATGTGCTTAGCAGCAGCAGCAGTAGTGATAGTAGTGGTAATAGTAGTAAATTTCTAGAAAATATAAAAGGGAAAATTACTTCAACCCCCTCTATGTTTTCTGACAGATACTTAAACCTCTATTGTACTTTGACCCCTGCAAAAACCTCCCCTCATGTTTCAAGCAAATATGCAAATGCACCCCACCCTTTCTGTTAACTACCCTATAATTGAGGCATTTAAAATTATAACTATGATCTTGTTACGAATGTGTATAGTGAACACTGTTTTACACTCTTTAGATTGTCGAGTATGGTGTTTCTGCTAACAGGGGAGGTTTAAGTTCAACTGCGACATGCCTTTGTTGTTCACTTGATGGAGCAAATAATGAAAGCAACTTAAATAAAGTGAATCACCTTTTTGGGAGTAATTCGGTAAATCTTCATTACAATAAAGTTTATCTTGAGCAAAAACGAGATTTTAAAAACTTTAAAGCATTTTGTGTCAGGACAATTAATGGAAGGGGTGTGCTTGCATATTTATTTGAAACATGAAGGGAGGTTTTGCAGAGGTCGAAGTACAGGGGTGGTTCAAGTATTTGCCAGAAAACAAAGAAGAGGTTTAAGTATTTTTCCCAATATAAAAATATAAAGACAGTCAAAATCCTTGGAAGAGGTTTTTTTCCCTGAGGTAAGGAATAGTGTCTGCAAATATATAAGGAGATCTGATCACTTGGTAGAATTTTGTTTCAAATGGAGATCCAAGGTAACAGATATCAGGAAATACAAAAAAAAAAACACTATGTTGAGATGGGTGACTAGAAGAGCTGAGTAATCACTGCTTCAGGAATTTGGTAAATTAATTTTGACATACTATTCAGAACAGAGACCCAAACTGAAGTAATTCTAACTAAATCACTTTTTGTTAAATAGAAGACATGAAGGAATAATTATAATTAATAAATGATGAGGTCTCCCTTTGGCAGACCTATTTCACTAAGTAGCTGAATCAATGCAAGTGGATATTTAAAGGAAACTGCAGAAATATCATGGAGGTTGCAGCAGCCAACTGAGGAAATTACATCTTTCCACATTCTGACAGTGTTCCATCCAAAAGAAGATTCAGAATCAAGTCAAATGATAATGTTGAGGGCACTGTCCCTTTCGAATTTTACTCACATATGCATATAAATACATGTGTGTCTGTCTAAGAATGAAGAGATAACTGGGCCAAGTTATGGTCATTAATTTATCTCACCTTCAAATACAGGACATATGGCGATTTAACATAACTTCCATCACTCAATTTTGACATCAATGCTAATAAGGATGCCCTTGGGCAATTCTTTATAATGATCAAGTCCAAATAACCATCTGAGAACTGCTCAACAAGGAAAAAGAAAATCATCATGAAGGAACATCTGTAACAAGGAAATCAAGATTTAATAACTTCGGATGATTAAAAAATGAACTTCTAAAAATTCCAAAAGCAAGAACCTAATTGTATAGAACATTGTCAAAATCCATAAGATCTATTCCACTTCTTAGAAAATGATAGCCTATTTGGTTGAACACTGATGCATGTTACCCAATGCATTTTCTTTTACTTAATCAGGGGTGGAGCCAGGGGGTGGCGGAGGAGGGGAGCCATGGCCTCCCATATGCCTTGAAAATCCCCACAGCACTCATTTAAATCCAACTTATATTTTGGCCCCCCTCAACAAAAAATCCTAGTTCCACCCGTCCTTAATGCATTTCATGCAAAACATATTAGCAAATTGCTGTTTTCCATGTGGTTGGAAATAAAGTTTTTCTTTTTTTTTTTCTTTTTTACACAATGCATCTAAATAAAGTAGCAATCCTTGACCTGATCATCTAACTAGCTCATTTTTCAGGGCAGATTATCAACTTGATAAATAACCAGGCCAAATCCATACATACTCTGGGTTGATGAAATAGTTCCTAAACTATTGCAATTCTTGGCATCAAAGGACTCAAACCACAACAAATAAAACAAGAACCAGATATATATTTCATGCCTTACCATCAACAAATTATCCTGTACCCAGGTCACAGTTTTCTAATCTCACTTGAAATCCACCAGAAAATATGTAAATAATGAAAACAAAACCTTAAGTAACATTCTTGAGCTTAAATACACAATTCTATTAGGGAGATAATTACAAGAACAAAATATTCAAGAAAAACCCAGAAATGCAAGGCCCTACCTTAGCATCAGAAATACAAGTTGAAACAACAAACAAGGCAATAAACTTACTTTCTTCAGATACTTTGAGTCTTCTTTATACATACTAGACAATATCACTGCATCTCAAATGTCTCTGCAACTGAATTGTATCTTAAGAACCAGCTTTATTTTTGTCAATACACTAGATTAAATTTTTGCGGTTATGGTCAAACGAGTGGATCAATATTTATGCAACCATGAAGGATCTGGAGGACAGAATCTCAGAGATGGTACCTAAGGCAGCGGATTTTTAGCCATCTAGTAAGAGAGGCAAAAGCCCTGGATGTCTAGGAAAGGAGCAGAGATGTCATATTGGTGTGCATCCCTTCTGATGGTGCTTTTATTTTGATTCTCTTTGTAATAGTTTTAAGCTGCCTCCTAGTATGAGAGGCTCTGTTTAGTCTTATCCTGCCCATCTTGAGTACAATCATTGTTGCATGGATACCCAACCTTTGGAGGGGACTCACAAGTCAGCTCATGTCTGACTCTCCAAAATACATGTCAGACTCAGCTACAATGCAAATCAGGAGGATTCACCAAAACACTTGCCATGTCAAATCCACAAAATTACAAATCCTCACTTTAAACACCTCAATGTAACAATCATCCAACCATCTGAACTGCCCAATAGGTGACTCTAGTACTTGAAAATTTCCAATTTACACATAACTTATGACCCATTGTTTGTTGAACATTTTTTAATTATTATTTCATTAAGAAAACAATGAAAAGAAACTATTGTGGTCATGTGGAAAAGGCAAAGGCTGTGAGTTTAACTTGTTAATTGTAAATTGTAACTTATCTTTTTTATATGTATATAATTCTATAGTTTTAACTTTTAAGAATAATGATTAAAATTATAATATTATTTATGCAAGATGTTCCAACGAATTCTAGTTTTTTGGGTTGACCAAGTTGGACTCTCCAAACACGTCAGATTCTGATTCCCGTATCTGTGTCCACGCAACACTGTGATGCCGGAGATGAAAAGTCAAAATTGGAATTTTATGAAAATTTGTATTTTTGTATTTTTGGACAGTAGGGTTTTTTTTTCATTTCGTAATTTTCTGTGGGGGATCCAATGATAGGGTTTAATTTGTCTAGTTATAGTTTGTTTATATTTAAAATTTCAGAATCATTGCATAAGTAGGATTAGAGTTATTGAGTCTTCTTTGAATTGAAGTAGGATATGGCAGCTTAGTTTGAGTCCTACTAGGATTATTGAGTTTAACAGTTTGACTCCTAAGATTATTATGAGTCTAACAATTTGACTCCTAGGATTATTATGAGTTTAGAGTCTATAAATATGTTTGGACATTTTACACAAAGGCAATGAAATATATTGAGTTTTCTTCAGCTTATGCTAACTATGGTGAGTGATTCCCATGCCCTAGAGTGATTCTAGGCACCCTGTGAAATTCCAGGCATTTTCTCTCTACTTTGTCTCCCTATTTTCTCTCTTATTCCTTCAAGAAGCAATTACAGCCATCAACAGCCATAAAATTCTGATCAAGAAGACCATTCAACATTCTTTAAGGACTAGAACCGAGCTGGTCCTACATCACACTGGGTACAATAGATGTTTGTATTTGCTATTCTTTTGGATTAATGAAGTTTTTGTCATTGATCCCATATATATTGACAACCACTTGGAGAGGGGTTTCACTCTGACTCTAGGAGATCAGTTACAAACAACAACCTTATGTATCAAAGTAATGATAAGAAAAAAGATGAAACAAGAAAGGGTTAAAGAAATCTTGAATTATCCAAGAAAAGGAAAAAGAAATCAACCTTGGCATCAGGTGCAGCCATGGTATCTTCACTGCCCCAAGGCACATTATGAAGCCAAACAGAAACAAATGGTCCATCGATGGTTCTCCACTCCAAACTATCCAATGAAATTTCAGGCCCTTGATAGCCATGTTGTCGACTTTTAACACTATCCTCTTGGCTTTTACTCATTTTTTTAGTGCACCTGTCATTTTGATTGCTTGGCTCACCATAAGTTTCATACCCAGGAGCAGGCACAAAGGAGAGACGCCCATTATATCTACGCTTATGTATTATTCTCACAAGTGCCTAGAAGAACCAGGAATAGTATTACCAGTTAAGTGACCATACAAAAAATATTCTAAACACTAACTGAGCCATCTTTCTTGAGTATGAAACCAAATATACAGGTACAAGAATTATCACTACAATGGAGATCTCATGCTAATATCAAAATGCAGCATCACATCAAAGTACATATGCACTGTGCTTCCAATTTCATATGCATGGTCCTAAATCATGATATTGCTTCCATGCATTATTTATTATTCCTGAATAAGTATCATAAATATAATCGGTACTTGATATGTACTTCCAACACTTATACAGATCAAGCAACAAAGTTTCACAAGAAATTTAATTAGAAAGAAATGGACAAAATCAAAGAAGAACACTTAACAATAAGACAATTTTGTGCTCAATTAACATAATATAATATGTAGAATTGATAGGCTGGTGATGCTGACTATTATTATCATATTCTTGAGAAAAGATATGACAATATATGGAGGGACCGTTCCAATTTGTAGGGAAACCCTACATATCATATATAAAATGAAAGGCAACTAGATCAAACCGACTGAAATCCAACAAGAAAAAAGAATTAAAGGAAAAAGAATTACTCTCATACATAGAAGTCCAATCGAGCACTTCCCATCCATCTGTATTTCTCAGACTCTATATCAATATCTGCAATCAGGCCTGCAATTACCCAAAAAAAACGTAGGATTTCATAATACTATCCAGCTGATGCTCAGAGCTAAAAGTAAGAACATCCAAAAAAAGCAAGGAAATGTATCATAGTCCTAAAAAAGGCAGCCCTCCCACCAATGTGGGGTCTGGGGAGGGACAGATGCATGCAGCCTTACCCCTGCACATACAGAGAGGCTGTTTCCAAGATTTGAACCCTATTCACCCAGGTCACAATGGAGCAACCCAACCACTGTGCCAAGGCCCACCCCTAAAACAAAGACAAACCCCTAAAACAGCATACTGAATGGAAGAAAAATAAAAGTTAACTGGTTAATCAATATGATAGTATTTTCAAGCTTACCCCATGCAAGCATCAAAACGCTAAAAAACTTGGTCTCCCCTTGCAAAATAGTAATAACATCCAGTGAACACTTATGGCCTGTACATAATAATTGCAAAAATGAGCAAACAGAAATTAATGCTCAGAAAATCTGGTTCTTTTTGAGAAGTATTGTATTGACAAATCAGGATCCATGATCAAGAGAGTTTGGCAACAGTTTTAATGTTGGCAGCCAACCTGGCGCAACCCTCCTCGTTTACCCAGGCTGATGTAAGACAAGCTTAAACTGACAGGATTGGGATAAGGCTTGGATGATGATGATTAAAGTAAAGTATTGTATTCATATAAAAAATTCATAAGCCATGAAGTAGTAAGATGTAATTCATTCTTGCATATAAAACATGGAAATACCAATACCTATAAAAAATACAGGCTTTACAAAAAAAATAAAATAAAGTAACATCAATATACCAAAATGAACCATTCAATACTTTCTTTCTTGTGCTCAAATTTATTTATTAAATATACCAAAATGAAATGGAAAACACTAATAAAAGTGAGGTATAAATAGAAGATGATAACCTCGAATTACTGAGAGAGTAGCATTAGATACTGAACAAGGATCATCAACAAAGTCCAGAAGAGATTTTATCATTCCATTTCCGGTACCTGCATCCAGAAATGTTGTTTTAATATTCCCCAGAGTAGAAAGCCATATAAGTACAAAGAAAATGATATAAACAAGTGAGACAGCATATGAGTAACAAACCTTTCAATATTAAGAATTCTTAGAAAAAAAAGACAAACAGAAATTTCATTGTAAAACAATGAAATAATAAAATGAGAAGAATAAGAAATTTTAAATTCAAGGAAAACTTTGGGTTGAAGAGAATAGATGTTCCGGTTCTCTTCCCTTCTAGCATAATTACTAATAGTTCTTTACTAATAAGAGTATGTCCCAATTGAAGTAAACCAACATAACCTAAAGTTTGGCTTTTGTTTTACTCATTCTTTTCTTTTTTATTTAGCTCACCTTTTAATTGTTGTTTAAGATTAGTTACTCTTTTTTTAAGGGAAAAAGAATATGGTTACACCCTCAGTTGGTTTATACACATAATTTCTTAACCTTCGTCTTCGAGAGGTTCTTTATTTAAGTTCTAGAGAAATATAAATCAAATTCAAGAACAGAGAGGTTTTAGATGTTGAACCTGTACTTGAACACAAATAAACATCACACTATATTGAAAAAGTGATGCTAGGACCCAGTACCAAGCCACCCTAAACCATCATTCTAGGGCATCATATTAAAACAACAGAGTACGAAAGCTAATGGCAATGAATAACAAGTAATAAGAAGCTGGATGGTAATCACACAACCCAAGATTACCATCTAGGAATTACATCAAAGCACTAAAGCACAAAGCATATATTAAACGTTGGTATAAAATTAAATGTTGCCCTGTTTCCTGGACTTACCATATTCATCATAGTAATTTGTGTGATTATGTTTCACCACAATTTTGCTCATATTTACAGGTAAGTAGGGGTGTCAATTCGACTGGATTTGGTCCAATCAAATCCAGTCCAATGTGAGTCCATTACAATTGGACCATGTCCAATCCAATCCAATGATATTTTGGACCATTTTGGAATGCTCCAATTTAATATCCGGACCGTCCAATCTGTTCAAAGTTATTTTAATTTAGATTGGTTCTAACCCAAACCTGGTCCACTGACACCTATATTCTTATCTTATATGAATGGACCAGATATTGGCTCAATCCAACCCAATCCAATATAAATACATTATGGATGGACCAGGTCCAATCCAATCCAATAAACACTTCGGACCATTAACTCTAGACTGGTCCAATTTAATATGCCTTGTTGGTCCGTCCAATCCATTCAAATTGATTTTGGTTTGGATGGAGTCCAATCCAAAACCGGTCCATTGACACCCTTACAGGTAAGCAAACAAACCAGAAGAGGCTCCACGACTGGAACTTCCTTGATAAAGATCAAGTACTTGAGAAACTGAACTTTCATATGAGTAAACCTAAATGAAATTTTCTAAAAGTTTACATACCTTAATTTGTACTCCAATTAGGATTGAATTGCAATGAAACCAAAATAAAAAAGTGATTGAAACAACTCTAAGACATTAAGAACAAAATTAGAACCATAAATTCCTACTTGGTTTAAGAGAAGGACAATATAGAACCCGATTACACCTTGTCACATAAGAAACTATAAAAGAGTTAATAGACACATAAACAAAATTCAAACTATCATGTCAAGAAATACAATAATTAATCTAACAAACTTACTGCCCAATATTAAACTCAAAACTCCAAAATCAGTAATTAATTCCAAATTGTATTATCACAACTTGTTAGATAAATAACTGACCCTTCTGGTGATAAGAAGACTAAGGTTTCTGAAGACTACTTGGTACAATAAACTGATAAAGAATGAATAAAAGCAGAATGACAGATGAAGCAAATCTACTTGAACAATTTTGATCATTCATTCAATATGGTATAATTTAGACTCTAGATACCTTAACCAAAACTTAGAAAAATAAGAGAGTTAATGGGAATTGGATGGAAAAATCAACCGATGAGAATACACTGGTATTTCAAATAAACTACAGTAAACGGGAGAGCAGAAATTTTCCTATTACCCTAATGTACCTAAAATTCATTCAAAATAAAATGGAAGTAGACGATGTCTATAAAATATTAAATGGTTACAAAATGGGAAAAAATATGGATGATCCATGGATTGGGCTAAAAGCACATAGTTTGTTGACAATACTTAACATGGGCTACAGTTGCCCACATCCTACTAAATGGAAAACTGGAACTCTAAAACCAACAGGAAAATTGTTCCCCAAGTAACCTATGAAGGTATTAGAACCAAGCTTAGTGCATACCAAATATTTTATTTATTAACTGTAAATAGTTACCATGTTCAATTCATTTCCACAACACAATAAAGATATAGTATAGAAGCAGTTTTATATGACAATTAGAGGTTATTGAACAAAGTATTGAAAGAAGAATCAACTACTGAACTTGAATGTTTTCAATCTAATAACAAAATAACAAACCTGCTGGTATTATCCCAATAGGCATTTTTATTGCAGCATCCCAATCATCTCTTTGGAGGAGCCCATTTACAACCTACTAATCAATGCACATATTGTGAGAAAAAGGGAATGAATAACCAACTATCTGAACAATTAAAAAGGGAGAGGAACCATGTGTACTAAATAAACACTTAAGGATTAGTTCGTAATCATTATGTTTTGGATATTGTATGCCAAGATACCTTTTGGACCAACTTGAGAGGAAGATTTGAAATTAATATGTTTGACTGGTAGGTGGCACCTGTCAAGGGACTAGTCCTACCAGTCATGGGACTAAATCTAGGATACCTTATTCTAAAAGCCATCAGATAGACTAGCTGCTCCATCATAGTACCTTCATAGTCAGGGTAAACTATGGTGACCAGTCCATGAAAGAAGCCTTTTTGTTTCATGAAAGAATTATCGTAATGCATGGCAAACATCATCTATCTTGAACAATTTCTGTGATTAAATAACTCCAAATTGAGCCTACGATTAGTTGAGGTAATTGCAAAATGAGCATTTTGTAGATTCCACTGGTAGAATGTCCATATGGTCTATATTGCATCTCATATCTGTTAGTATAGCAAAATGAAGAACGTATTTTCATTTTATCAGTAGCATGCCACATGCCTAAATCGTTTTTTCATTTTTCATGCAACATGGAAGAAAGAAGAAATCACAGGTGCATCAACAAGCATAACCAACTAACCTCAACTAAGACACCATCTCCACTGATGCATACAATTCCATCATATTTTGAGATATCCAATGTTTGAGCAATTTCTTTTGCATGCAATTGATATTTGGTCTCTGAGAGATAAAAAACAAACATCAGTAAGAAACCAGCATCCGTCGGAAGGGAGAAAGGCCAATGTGCAAAACAGAGGATAGTGGGTTTTTCAAGGAATACCCTACCTTGTACTGTATATTGGACATTAGCAGCTTCTAGTAGTGGTTTAACCTCATACTGGAAAATCCAAGAGGCAAACTTCTTTCCCCCAAAAGGATTCACGATAATGAAGAGCCTTTTTGGCCGGTCTGTTATGAAGACAAAGATGATGACACTGATGTTAACTAGACCAACAATTCTTGCAAGGGAAGTTCAACATTCCAGAAACTAGTATTTGATTCCAAAAATTCCAAGAAATTTTAGAAGTATGAGTCACTGAGGTACTGAATACAAATTGATATCAGAAAATTGGGTTGAACAATACCAGTTTCAAATGAAAAAAAAAAAAAAAACACCAAAGATTTAAAACAGAACTAAGTTATAACAATCTAACCGGAAAAAAGAAAAAAAAAAGAATCTCGAAATGGAGAAGAAAAATCATTAATTAAAAAATCATCTACAAAGCTTGTACCAAGAGAATCAATGCATTCTTGAAGCTTCCGGCACCAAAGCTGGTGCGACTCCTGTGATAAAGGCTCGATCACGAAATCCTTCCTCACTCGGTTCCCACGGTTTCCAACACAAGAAATCCCGTTGTCCTTCTCCACCATAGCCTTAATTGTAAACGTAGAACCATCCGCAACAAATCCCAGAACGTCCTTCTCCACCGTTAAGCACCGCTGGCGCTTATCCGCCCACCGGATTCTTCCGTGAACGGAGAACGTAATCGGCGTTAGGGTCCCGTTGACCTTGACACGCTCAAAAATGGTAAGAGTCTCTCCCTCATGCTCATCCATTCTCTGTCGCAGAGAGGTCTTGCACACTGTGCATATGGTGATCACAACGCTGCACGTTTCAGTTAAAAGCTGGAACCTGGAAGGAGAGAAAGAATGTGAAAGGAGTTTTTGCTTGCTTGACGCCATATGCTCATTGTTAGGTAGCATTTCTCTTTTAGTTTTTTGACTTTTGTCTTTATATCTAAAGAAGTTGATAAACACGTGGCAAAACGATGTGAATCGGGGCATACTATTCTATATACCTTTCTTCGTGGGGGCCACTCATGCCGCTGACGAGGATTGAACCTTTGCGCTACGTCAGCTTGGCACAAGGTCGTGGATATCATTCATTAATCATGGGCTCACGGTGTAAGAGCCCAACTCAAACTCGATAACTGGACTTATTTATAGTGATGAGGATGGGCTATAATGAACCAAACTTTAAAAGCTTAGCCCAATCAAATTTGTCTCAGGCCTCATTTAAGTGCCCGTTTGCAAGGGCTTCCACGCAGCGGCTTCTGGCTTTGCAAGATGGGCCCTCACACGAAAAGCATATAAGTTATATGTTTGATGAAAAACCCAATAGGCCCATTTACACTATCATTCAGTCAAAAAATCCACTTTCCGGTAAAACTGGTTTTAGTAGCTTCTCAGTAAAAACAGCTCAATCAAAGTTGAAGTCCTTCCGCAAGAATAAAAGAACTAAGAATGCTTTAAATTAATAAGCAACTTGTTAAAAAAAAAGGTTTTAAAGAACTAAAAATTTAGTCGTTTTCAACAAAAATGATGCAATCAGTGGAGATATATTAAGTAAGGTGAGACAACTTCAAAACCTACTAAGTCAATTAAGATTTTACTCTCGCCATGAGGACAGATTACCAAATAGGTATAGCCAATCACAAAAGGTTAAAAATAACCAAAAACATAAACTAAATTTAGAGTCCATTTGGTTCGTAGTCAGAATCGGAATCGGAATCAGAATGGTCCATTCCCATAATCTGTTTGATTCAAATAGGAATGGGAATAGAAATTAAAATCAGCAAGAATAGGATTTCATTCCTAAGGGAGGGGCAGGAAATGGCCATTCCCTCAAATGGGGGAATGCCATTCCAGCAAGAATGGGAATGGGATTCTGATTCCCCCCAACCAAATAGTTGGAATCGGAATAGTCCACTCTGGTTCTGATTCCAGACCCCTATTCCTGCGAACCAAATGGGGCCTTATTATATATTTTGCACAATTTACACTCACAATAAAGGAAAAATCTATAATGCAGAAAAGATATGGTATGGAAAGAGTTTTGACCAATCAAAACCCATCAATGAATTTTGATAAATAACATCATGTTCCCTACCACATTTATTACTCTGATTTATTAGTAAGTTGTTTTTTTGGATATTATATCTTTTTCCATATCATAATCGAACCCCACAATAAAACAGGGACAAATTAACAAATAGGGATATTTTAGTCACAAAAAGTCAAAGAATATTTAGAGGCACATTAAAGGAAATAGATAAAATACATGACTCAAGAGGAAGGGGCTAAATAGATAAATACACCACCACAACTCACAACTCAAAATTATTTGTTCAGTTGAACATTTTGTAAATCGGCCACTAGTGAGCAAGAGAAGGTAACATTATTGATAGGGAGTGCAACTTGGGCGGGGCTCGGATTGGGCTTTTGTCAAAATTTGGATGAGCCTAATCCGAAGACTTAAAGCCCAAAGCAGTGTGAAGTTTTAAATCAGGCCAACCCGAGTTGCACCCTTTTGTTCTCTCTATTGGTTTGCTCTTAAAAAGTGGTTAGCTGGGCCATGTGGTTTGTGGCTAGACCGCTTGATCGAAGGCTTGGATTACGTGGCTTTTATAATGGAGGACACCACGTGTGGACTACGCATATTGGGCCAGAAGCCCATAACCCAAAGGATCCGTAGTCGGGGTCTGGAGCCCCTAACTTGCCTCATATTGGACTTCAAAAGATCAAGGCCGAGCATTCAAATAATCAAAACCCAAGCCTAACGGGATAACTTTGACCCGTCCATTGGGGGCCACCAGCATAGTCTGTTGAAAGTAATGTTTTAAAAAAGGACAAATTTATTAAATTATTTTTATAGTTTAACTAATTGACTAATTTTATCTTTATTGTTTATATATTGTCTTAATGTATTCTTATTCTTTTTTACAATTGACATCTTTAGAAAATATTAAGGCCACGTTTGTTTGGGGTGGAAAATTGAATTGGGGTAAACTTTACATCCTGGTTCAATTTTCCACATGTTTGAAAAGTGTGTAGTTTTATATAGTAAATCGGTGTAAAATTGATTTTTGAATTTTTTTTACACCAATATGTAAAATATACATCCAAATTATCGATGTAAAACTAATCTCTCTCTCTCTCTTCTTCTTCTTCTTCCCCCTTTTTTTCTTTCTCTGTTCCATTACCGCCACTACAATCAGTTGCTGCAACTGAACCCAGGGCAGCAGTGGCACCAGCGATTTCTCTCTCTCTCTCTCTCTCTCTCTCTCTCTCTCTCTCTCTCTTCCTGTTCTTTTTCCCCCCCTTTTCTTTCTCTGTTCTGTCACCACCATTGCGGTAGATCTGAACCCACCTCCCATTTCTCTTTCTCTTCTCCTCCTCCTTTTTCTTCTTCTTCTTCTTCCTCTGCTTCCTTCCTCCTGTGTAAATTTTCACAGAATTTACACCTTGACAACCAAACATGGTCTGTATAAATTTTCAAAATCTACCAGTCCCAATTTTCATCGACAATTAAACCAATTCACATTTCCCATCGGTGTAAAATTAAATTTACACCTAAAACAAATGCAGCCTAAGGCTCCATTTGGAAGGAGTATAAATACAAATATATAGAGCTCAAAACCTTATATTTCGTATGAATTTATACTTGCATATTTGTATTTATACGCCTTCCGAACCGAGCCTAATGGAAAACAATAAAATGTTAAATTTACCCTCTATTCTTTTTCAAAATTTCAAAATAAAACCATTATATGAAAAATTTTGAGAAATCGACATTTGCAATTGAACTCGCCGCTGCTAGACGAGAGAACCAGCAAAAGTTGCAAGAAAAAAACCCTGATAAAGAGACTCAGGGAGACTGTTGGCTTTCAGTTTGAATTGAATGAAGCATAAAAGAAGAAAGCTTTTTTTGCCAAGTCTCCACCCTCCACCAGGCTCCACGGATGAGGCTGCAAGGTTTGAACCATTAAACCTGCAAGTTGCAGTTGCTTTCCTTGTGTTGCCCGAAAAGCTAAGTGGAAAACGGTGATGCAGAGCCCCTCTTCGCCGGCGATACGGTAAAGATGAATACTTGAGCCTAATATTTCCCTTAATGCAGCCAAGCCATTGTCGGGGGTTTCTGAAATCCGCAGCACCTACCAAAACTCGCACTGGTAAGAATAATAGAGCCTAATATATCCCTTCATGCTGTGCCACATAAGATTTTGCAGCTCAATTCCAAGTTGCCATCATTGATCAGGATCTTTTAGGTTGCAAATTTATTAGAAATTTAGAGGGAAATGAAAATCCTAAACATATAAAGAGCCATAATAAGATGCTACAGGATTTTCCTGAGAATCTCCATTGTTGTTTTCTTTAATTCATTCTTTTTTTTGGATTTTGTATTAAAGAGAAAGCTACCCATTGAATACCAATAACTGATACAAATAGACTGGGCCTGAATAATTTCAAAGTTTGAGACGGCAGTTGCAGTTTTGCTTTTGCAGAGCTTCACCTTTCTGCGGTGGTTGTGCTTCTACCAAAGAACGTCAGCCTAAAGAGGGAAAATGGATTTGGTGGAACGCGGCACGGCATGGGGGAAGATCAATATGGCTCCTTCAATGGGTGTTTAATGCGGCATAGTTTTCCGATTGAAGAAATCACGCAAAATCTGTCTAATCTTTCGAAGCAGCATAATTGTCCGACGAACACGGAGCGGAGTTGTGGCGGTGGAAGTGGAACCATGGTCGACCACAGTTTTAATTCGCAGCCTTCTTTTGAGTACAAGTTTAACCACTGCCTACAAAACGGTAACATGAGCATAGATTGTGACAGAATAATAATGGATGCCAACATTAGGGGGTAGAACTATTAAATTGTCTTAAAATTTAAGAGTACTTTGACGATATATAAACAAAATAATAAGGGCAGAGCTAATCAATTTCTTAAATTACAGGGGTATTTTAAGAACTTTATCTTTTAAAAAAACGATCCGAAACCGTTTTGGCCACGGGTTTCAATGGATGGCATATTTTTTATATTAAAAAATAAAAAATAAAAAATAAAAAAACAATAATTAAAAAAAATGACAAATTACAAAGACCTCCTGTACTATGCAATGGGGTTTGTGATAAAGATTCCCTCTATTTTGTTTTGCGACAAAGACGCTTCTGTACTATAACCGTGAGACAAAGACTCCCTTGTGCTAGAATTCGTTGAAATTCACTGTTATAATATTTTTTAATCCTCAAAAACATTATTCACTTTCCCCCGCCTCACAATGCACGAGCAGCAGCGGCAGTAGCTATTGTAGCGAAGGTGGACTTCCGAAGTTCTCTCTCTCCCCCGATCTCCTGGCTCTCATCTGTGGCAGAGCTTGACCTCCTCCCACCCTTCTCCGACGAGGTATCCCTCTCATCACTGCTTCGCCTCTCCTTTTGACCAGTCACAGTACTGGCGACATTCCTTATGCTCTTGAACCAGCTTCCTTTCTTCTTTGACTTTGATCCACTACCAACATTACTAATCCCATTCACGTCCAGGTTATCATTCTTATTTCTTAGCACTCAATTCCTCTACATTCTACCTTCGCATCAATTCCTGAACAATAGGAGAATGCCCAACATACATATCAAATTCCTCCCAAGTTAGTTGTCTGCCAGTCTCGACTTTCCTAAGCTTGTTCCACATGCCATCCTCACTGAATTCATTCACTATAATTTCCTTTCCGTTGTCTAGATTCTTAATTATACAGAGCTGGTCAGTGGCCCTGACGATGCCGTTACAATCCGAATCATCGTCAAATTCTCCACCACCGTTGCCGGCATTCACCAGCACAGGGGTCGAGGGATAGGAGTTAGGTCTAGGGTTGACATTCGTTGGATCATTTCTAATATCTTCCACCCTCCG